CCACACACACAGCACACACACACACAGAAACCACACACACCACACACACAAACACCACACCCACACACAACCAGCACTTCAGTACCACCCTTCTCACGCAGTCGAGGGGGCAAGAGGACAGCAGTCATGTGACCAGAAAACCACTCAACTCCAAGAGAATCGAGGAATGAAAAAGCACACACACACACCACACAGCGCCACACACGACACAGCACAACACAACACCCACACACCACACACACACACAACACACCACAGCACACCACCACACACCCACACCACACCACCACACACACCACACACACAGCATAAATGGTTAGTTACAGAAGCTTTTTGTGTATGAGTGGAATGTTTTGTTGGCTAATCCTTTGCGGCACTGAATAGTGACAGCACAATGCAACACCAGCTGAATTATATTAGATTTATATATTGACGGTCCTAGAGTATTTACAGCAATGCAGTCACTAACCTAGTGAGTCTAAGCGGCCCCTTCGCAAGGAAAGGGAAGCACCAGCTAGGGCAAAATCGCATTTAAATGAGTAATTGTCTGGCAGTGGTGTGTGTATGTCTTGCTCTAAAACCAGACGCCAGGTCATGGTAAACCACGGGACATGTTGTGGCTAAACAGTGATTGAACCTGTGAGGTGTGTGTGTTTTCTAAACAGCTAAGTGGCGCCCTGCAGGTGGACATCATGATAGCAGCAGTGTAGTTAGTTATATTATAGTTTAGCAGAGACAGAATACAACAGAGAGTTTCAAGAGGAAGCATCTGAAAAAGTAGGCATATTCAAACAGACCCTATTCTTTCTGGTAAAAGAAAACTGCATTAACGCTGGAACCTGTACACACGTGATCGAAGTCAAAGGTCAAATACATCTATTCTTCTACAATTGAAATTAGAAACCCATTACTTACTAATAGAATAGAAACAGCAGGGTCGCAGTCCTCCAATAAGCTCTAACGCGGTTTTTATATATTTGAACGTGTGGTTGTTTTAATTGTGTTTTGATGATTTTTCCACTTTTTTGAGTTCTAGAAAAGCGCTCCCCTATAAATAAAATGCATTATTATAACCTCCTCCCATGTTTCTCTCTCTTCATGCAGCAGCAGGATAGCTTTCCCAAAAGCTCCAAAGTCAGCGCGTGTCGTGTCAGAAACGCCTCCCACGCTCCTGAGGGAGTGAGGTCAGGGCATGATGAAGTGGTTTCAACACGTCGAAACTTACGGCTGCGTTTCATCAGGTTCCTCTCCACTAACCGGCCCTCTCTTCCTCCTCTGACGCTTCAGATGTTTGGGAGGGGAAATGAGCAGCCGTAACTGATTAACCAGTTTTAGCTCTGCTCTGACTGATAACGCAGCAGAACCAGGCAGGTGAGTTCGAGGGCAGAGGAGTCATGTGACCACCGTCATGTGAGCAACTGATTATAAGATGATGGAATCTGCTGGTTTTGAATCTCTCAGTGGGGTGTTTGCTCACCGGCCCGTCCACCACACTAGGGCCATCGAAAAACATCTTAGAAAAATCTGTGAAGCTGGGCCCCGTGTCTGGAGCTTGCCCGATTTTTTTGCGAGCAACGCGACCAACAACCAATCACATGAATCTCCCGCCCCCGACATACAAAGCAATAGCAATGTTAAAACGAAGTAAACTGGATATAAAATCCCCAAACAGGCGAAAACCTACCAGTTTCACCCACTGTCTCTGCCACCTCCCTCCATGCCTGGTTCTTCCGGTTTGTATCCCGGTAAATAGTTCTGGTCGTAAAGAACCGGGTGATTTGCTACCGTAATTTCTCGTTTGGAATATGAGGAAATGAACTGCGGTCTGGCTCTCCCAGCTTGCACGCGGTTTGATTGGCTAGCGCTTGCACTGGCGGGATTTGCATAAACGGGATTTGATTGGCTGATGCCAGCTTCGAAAGCATCGGGAGCATCAAAAGTTGAACATTGCTCAACTTTTGATGCTCACGATGCTTGCAAAGCCATGCTCCCCACAATGCAGTTCGGCGAAGATTAAAAATCTTCTACGTCACCCCATTCAAGTGAATGGGCGAAGCTTTGAAAGATTTTTTTCATGCCTGTGTGTGGACGGGTCATAACTCTCTCTCTCTCAGAGACAGGCAATCCAGTATCCTCAATGTTCATAACCTCCCTCCTGTCATATTGTGTCTCAGTCTTTATATGCCATTAATATCAACTTAACTTACAAGCTAGATATGTAAAGATAACAACTTCCACAAGAAGCCTTTAGGATACGGTTATTTTTATCGGCTATGAATAAAAATAGACGAGATAAGAATAGCAGACAGTGATTAAAAATAAAATACTAAAAATAAAAAAAGACATAACAACTGATAAGATGGCACATAACAGAAGTCTATATCTAAAAAAAGAAAGCAAGTCATCAGCTCCTCAGAGAGGAACCGTAACAGTCTGTGGGCTCTGGTGGCAGAAGAACAAGACACTGAAACACGAGAACAACTGGGGTTTGGTGTGATATCGATCGGCTGCTCAACGGACAAGTGCTGACAGAAGGACAGAGAGTTCAGCCAGAGGAGAGCGAAATAATGACTTCTGATGAATCATTTATTAGAGCGTCTTGTTCCTGGGTGCAATGCAGGACTGCCAGTAAACGACAAATGATACCAAAGCTTCTCTGTGTGTTTGTAAACAAGAGCTCTGCTATAAAGTATAATTATGAGGAGTTTAGCTGACATTAGGGCTGCTCAATTAATCGTATTTTAAATCGCAATTACGATTATGGCTTGCAACGATTACGAAAACAACGTAATCGAAATATAACGATTTTTTTTTTTATTATTAATTTTTTTTTTTTTTTTTTCAGGGTAATCAACTGTTAAAAACATACGGTTCAAAAAATATTTCTCCAATAAATTGATATTTTCAAAGTAAATGGATAATCGTGTTTAATAATCGTGATATCAATTATTGACCCAAATTAATCGAGATTATGATTTTTGACATAATCGAGCAGCCCTAGCTGACATACTTTATAAGATGAATTAGTGTGGCACCTAACGCAGGAAAAAGTCATACATTATAAAAGAGACAGCTGTAACAATGTTTTCTAGTTTCTACTGCGAGAGGTGATCTGTCTGATTTAGCCCCTCAAGTGACAGTGGTGGATTTATTGATCAATTACATAGTACGTTTTACTACCACACCTCAGCAGGCCAACACAAGCTAGGGATGTTGTGAGACTAATCCTTCCGTACCAATAAGATGTCAAAATTCAGAAAATGTGACAGCACGTGTTTTTCTACAGTAGCTGCAAGATCACAGATAAATTTTTTTAGCAAGTGTCCTTTAAGAAAACATTATGGGAGCAAAAAAAACTGGGAACGTATTATCAATTCATCCAATGCGACAATTGTTTACCCTGTTACAATATAAACAACCAAGATTGTTGACATTAGCAGGAGTAAAGCTAGTTAGCATTAGCTGAGAGCAGCAGCTAACAGGTGCTATTGACTTTGTTGGTTTATTGACCTTTGTGGTGCGATCAACACTTCCAGAAAAAATGGCATTAGGCGAAGGCAAATTATTATGTTATCATGACGTGTTCAAATGACATTTTATAAAATGTGGTTTTTGAGAGAAACTTGAATAAATAAAGTGGTTTGATGCAAATAGATATTGATATTTAAAAAAAAAAGGGAATTGTGCGCCGTTTCACTTCCTTAAAGAAAACAGTAAGCAAACGGGAAAAAGGAGTCCATGTTGAATCAATATTTTATTTTGAATAGAGAATCGTTGAATTTCACTGGTATTGGTGTAGAAAAACAACCTTTCTGGTATTGTGACATTCCTAGTAAACAACAGACCCTCAAAATAATATTCTGCGACATTAATATCTTTCAACACAATAAAAAGTCTGAGAATGAAAGGTCTGTTGGAGCAGCCGATAGAAACATCAAAGCTGGTCTGGAGGCAGCAGAAAGGTTAGCAGGGCTCCTGAGGCCGAAGGAAACAAAGGGGCCGTGTGCACTAATGACTGCCCCGCCCCCTCTATCAGCTGCCTCAACACTCTTATCTTCTCTTTCCAGCTGCACACCCCCCGCCCTCCCCCTCCTCCTCAGCTGTACCCAATTAAAAGAAACACCCTGATCAAAAACAAGCCATCCTCTGCTGCTGCTGCTCTTTATTTAAAACTTTTCATAACCGCTCCCGAGGTTGTTTCACGTTTTAATTCTGTTTTATTCGCAGCAGGGGGATTCCACAGTAGAGCTGAAACACAGCTACATACATTACTTATCTCTTCAGACACATGGTCGTATCGTCCAAGAAACACCTTCATGTCCCAAAGAGGAACAGCCAGGGCCGTGAATATTCCAGCCATGAAGTATTTTGATGTTTTAATTCTGTACTCAGCATAATTAAAAAAGCCAAATGTCTAAGAAGTTCAATTCTGCCTATTTTAAGGTATTCTGGTTATTTTGGAATTTGACTTTATTATTTTTTTATTAACTTAAAAAACTCTCAACTAAGAATTGACCGATTACGGGCCGCTATATAAGCATTTTATATTATAGTAAGTATTGTTGCGTTTTATATGCAATAAAGTAAATTAATTGAACATGTGCTCCTCTGACCTCTAGCCCACAGCACATATGCTTGAATGCATTTATGTTTGACGATGTGTTATTCCACATTTTCACCGTAAGATTGAAATGCTTTACTGCAAAACTCAACCCTGAAAACAGCTAATCGTTGGCAGTTTATCACCAACTGCTTTGGCTGCTTACCCAGTCTTCATTTATGCAGTCACAAAATGTGTGAGGGGTGAATTGGCAAACATTACATAGTGCTTCAAAACTGTACTCGACCCCTGACAATTATGTTGCTAACAATTCATTGTGAGGAAAATTCAGTCCCGATTCATAAATGAAAACTAGAAGAAGCAGGGATGCAATGCTAGCGTTAAAAGAACAGCACAGTCACATCAAACCCAGGGGGAATGAATATCCTGAAGGGGTTACCTGCAGGTTGTTGAGCGGCTCCATCTTCATGACGGGCCCCACGGTGCTGAGCGGCAGCGCGGCCTCAATGCTCTGGTTCGGACTGATAGGAGTGAGGATCTGGAGGGGACCAGCCGGAGCCAGACCAAAGCTACAGAGCAGCAGGGAGGGGAAACCAGAGTCACAACAGGTGTATTTATACAGGAACATCAGCACTTTCTTAGCCGGCGATCCTACCTGTTTCTGTTGAACTGGATGGCAAAATCACTCATGACACTCATAGCTTTATTGTTGAGTGTCATCTCCATTTGGATGACCCCAGAGCGGCGGACAAAAGTGCCCGATATCTCCAGACCCTTGGCCTTCATGGCTGGCAGCCAAACCTGGACAGAGATCAGTTCACTTATTAGGGAACCCAACATTCATGTATTATTGTAATATACGATACGATAATACTTTATTGGTCAGATCAAGTCTGAAATTTGACTTGCGTCACAGAAGCTCCATGTGTAACATCAACATAGACAAATGTGGAGACGCATGAAAAGCAAACAACAAACATTTAACATAATCACTGAGAGAAAACATTTGATCTGGGATTCAGCTGTGTTTACTGTGAGGATTGACTGATGCACAAAGGATGGTAGCAGTTCATGTTCGTTGTTCAGAACATGGTTTGGGTCCGAGATGATGTTGTTGGAGGTTGTTATGATTGGCCGAGTCATACATGTCACATCCCAGGTTATCAAGACTCACTGCTTTAGGGGGGATGTAGGTTCCCATCGTCATACCACCACCTCCGAGATCAAACAGGTCGTCCAGACCGCCGCTGATGGGGGCGTTGAAGGAAGCTGGCATTGCAGCCGGAGGAGCTCCGAAACCAGCCCCCATCTGTGGGCCGCAATGCAACACGTTACTCTCACACATCTCAACAGCATTTAGTACAGAGAAATCTAAATCAACAACAACTCAGACAAGATGACTCACAGCAGGACTTCCTCCAATGTCTCCACCAAGCTTTGTGGGAAGGGAAGAAGCACAAAAAGATTCAGGTTATTTAATGGTACGACATTAAATCATATCCTGGAGGATGGTTGAATGGGGGTGAGGGTCTACGACATGTATGATTAATGGTGGCTATGAGGATTCACTGTTTACAGGAGACAGCAAGAGGAAGTAGATCGAGGTAGAGGAGGGTTTTCTTTTGATGTAACTGACCTTTAGTTGCCTGTACAAGTCAGGATGAGTGGTCTTTAGGTCAAATACGTTGTGTTCAAATGCTACTCACTAAAGGTTTCTATTGACTGATGACAAGGTTGGGGGTACATTGAACAAGTGGTGCAATATAGTGACTCCACACACTACTGTGCATGGAGGACAATATTTTGCAGCAAAAACAAAAAAAGGTAAGATTTACTCAAATCTCACCCTGAATGGAGTGGGACACAAACCATCTAACACTACATTTACACAGGTACGGATCAC